TTTGTTATTAGTTGTTATTGGCTTTCCCTTACTACTGAATCGTTTATTCCCTCCACAATACGTAATACAAAAATTCGCAGTGTCGACTTTATATCCAAATTTAAGAAAGAATTGAAAAACGATAATCTCCTCAGTAAAGTTGAAACGTATTATTTGTACGGTCCGAGGAAATTGAATATTATTTTAGCTCAATTGCGATGTTCCGCTTAATTCTTAAACTATGACCTTTTTCGAGCTAACATTATAAATGACCCTTCTTGTCAATGTGGGTCAGATATTGAGGATGTTCATCATTACTTTTTCGTTTGTCAAAATTACGCTTCATGTAGGGAAACTTTACCCAATAATCTTAATTGGCTTTCCCAAAACTTTGTTTTAGATACTAAAATATTAATTTGCAGAAACTTGGAACTTTCGAATGAACAAAATATCTGAATTTTCAAACATGATCAAAATTTCATCCAAAGGTCTAACAGATTTCATCGACACCACCATCAACACCCACATCAACAAAATTATATGACTTTTCAATATTCCTTTTTTTTCTGTTCTCTTCTTTTTTGTTTACCTATAGCTCGTATTAATATATTCTATAATCTGTTTGCTTTACATACATGCTCATTATACTATTATTGTATAGATTTATATAGTATTATGGAGAAGACTTCATAAGTATGTGTTTGCTTTACATGCATGCTCATTATATTATTATTGTATAGATTTATATTGTATTATGGAGAAGACTTCATAAGTATGTGTTTGCTTTACATGCATGCTCATTATATTATTATTGTATAGATTTATATTGTATTATGGAGAAGACTTCATAAGTATGTGTTTGCTTTACATGCAAGCTCATTATACTATTATTGTATTTATTTATATTATATTATGGAGAAGACTTCATAAGTATGTGTTTGCTTTACATGCATGCACATTATACTATTATTGTATAGATTTATATAGTATTATGGAGAAGACTTTATAAGAATGTGTTTGCTTTACATGCATGCTCATTATACTATTATTGTATAGATTTATATTGTTTTATGGAGAAGACTTCATTAGTATGTGTTTGCTTTACATGCATGCTCATTATACTATTATTGTATAGATTTATATAGTATTATGGAGAAGACTTCATAAGTATGTGTTTGCTTTACATGCATGCTCATTATACTATTATTGTATAGATTTATATAGTATTATGGAGAAGACTTCATAAGTATGTGTTTGCTTTACATGCATGCTCATTATATTATTATTGTATAGATTTATATTGTATTATGGAGAAGACTTCATAAGTATGTGTTTGCTTTACATGCAAGCTCATTATACTATTATTGTATTTATTTTTATTATATTATGGAGAAGACTTCATAAGTATGTGTTTGCTTTACATGCATGCTCATTATACTATTATTGTATTTATTTATATTGTATTATGGAGAAGACTTCATAAGTATGTGTTTGCTTTACATGCATGCTCATTATACTATTATTGTATAGATTTATATTGTACTATGGAGAAGACTTCATAAGTATGTGTTTGCTTTACATGCATGCTCATTATACTATTATTGTATTTATTTATATTGTATTATGGAGAAGACTTCATAAGTATGTGTTTGCTTTACATGCATGCTCATTATACTATTATTGTATAGATTTATATTGTATTATGGAGAAGACTTCATAAGTATGTGTTTGCTTTACATGCATGCACATTATACTATTATTGTATAGATTTATATAGTATTATGGAGAAGACTTTATAAGAATGTGTTTGCTTTACATGCATGCTCATTATACTATTATTGTATAGATTTATATTGTTTTATGGAGAAGACTTCATTAGTATGTGTTTGATTTACATGCATGCTCATTATATTATTATTGTATAGATTTATATTGTATTATGGAGAAGACTTCATAAGTATGTGTTTGCTTTACATGCATGCTCATTATACTATTATTGTATAGATTTATATAGTATTATGGAGAAGACTTCATAAGTATGTGTTTGCTTTACATGCATGCTCATTATACTATTATTGTATAGATTTATATTGTATTATGGAGAAGACTTCATAAGTATGTGTTTGCTTTACATGCATGCTCATTATATTATTATTGTATAGATTTATATTGTATTATGGAGAAGACTTCATAAGTATGTGTTTGCTTTACATGCATGCTAATTATATTATTATTATTGTATAGATTTATATTGTATTATGGAGAAGACTTCATAAGTATGTGTTTGCTTTACATGCATGCTCATTATACTATTATTGTGTAGATTTATATTGTATTATGGAGAAGACTTTATAAGTATGTGTTTGCTTTACATGCATGCTCATTATACTATTATTGTATAGATTTATATAGTATTATGGAGAAGATTCATAAGTATGTGTTTGCTTTACATGCATGCTCATTATACTATTATTGTATAGATTTATATTGTATTATGGAGAAGACTTCATAAGTATGATTTACTTGTGTCTAATTCATTTTGCTTTAATTTAGCAAATAAAATATGTTTAAACTAATCTAACTGACCTTTCCCTGATTTTAATATTGAGTTTTACACAGAAAACTCTATACAAAAATTTACGACAAAAGCGACTACTTTTAGTTCCCTTTTGTTAAATTTCCTTTTATGAGCGGTGATGTTCCTTTTAGTCCCATCTTACGGTGTGTATGTATCCAAACTCGTTCGCAATGTCCGTGTGTGAAGTGACGTTTAAGATGCCAATGAACGTAATATATTTATAACTGGTAATTTAGGATGTCGGTGAATTCTTTACCACAAATTACTTAAAACCTTTACTAAATTATTATATTGATACACAAATTTGGTTTGGAAGTTTGTCTGTACCTGTAAAATCTTATTACAAACGGGAAACTACATCCTAATTTTCACAGTGATATTATTTAAAGAGGCCCGTAAAATTTAGATACGATACGTGTAAACCTTTTATTAAACTTACATCCGGGCTCCTTTGTTCTACCAGGGGTGATCCGATCTGAGCCGGATCACCCCTACCAGATCACCCTAGCTTGCGTTTCTTTGTTCTGCATGCTTTCCTTTGTTCTGTAACATTTTGGCGGGAATGTCAAATCCACAATAAAACTTAGAAATATTTATACGGAAAAGACTTACTATCAAAATTTATGTAGAAAAAAATCCAGTGTCTTTGCTTGGAATCGAACTCAAGACCTTTAGCATATAGATCCACGATTCACACCCCTACACCAGGACGACTGGATAATTACTCTCCGTTAATTTAACAAATTTAAACATTGTATATGGGACTCATAAAGGGTATATACTATATAGTAATATATAAAGTATGTTGTATGATTGCCAATGAGACTACTATTCACCAAAGTTAAAATGAAGTGGATGTAAGCAATTATAGGCAACCGTACGACCTTCAACAATGAGAAAAACCCATACGGCATTATTCAGCTATGAACATTAATGGTCTTACATTCTCATATTTTGGCATTGCACATGATCCTGTTTTCCCCGACTGTTTATGACGTCTTTATGCTAAATCCATTTGATGTGTACTGATTGATAATTATGTCTTGGTTACATAATTTGTTTATTAGTTATTATTAGCTTTGAACATGTTTAACTAGTTTTCAGTAACTGCGAATACTCTCAGATCGGTACTACGTCTCTTAAGTCATATTTTTTTGGTTGTTTTTGTGTGTGCTTAGTGGCGATCTTATGAGTCATGCTTTTTTAAACTGATGTTTATACTTGTTCTTATATTGTACTGTTACACTACTGTCCCAGGTAAGGGGACTCTTTGGCGCAACGGCAAATATGTTTACTTAAGCCACATTTTGTGTGTGGCCGTCCCAAGTCAGGAGCCTGTAATCCAATGAGAGTCTTTTTTGTTTTGTATATAAATCGTTAGTTTTCAGGTTTTATTTGTTTTACATTTGTTATGTCAGGTCATTTTATAGCTTGCTATGCGGTATGGCTTTTGCTTATTGTTGCTAACATCTACATATTTGGTCCTTGGATGAGAGTTGTCTCATTGGCAATCATACCACATCTTCTTTTTTATCCTTGGAGGAGAGTTGTCTAATTGGCAATCATACCACATCTTTTTATTTTATCCTTGGAGGATAGTTGTCTCATTGGCAATCATATCACATCTTCTTATTAGGTCCTTGGAGAAGAGTTGTCTCATTGGCAATCACACCACATCTTCTTATTTGGTCCTTGGAGGAGGGTTTGTCTCATTGGCAATCATACCACATCTTCTTATTTGGTCCTTGAAGGAGAGTTTGTCTCATTGACAATCGTACCACATCTTCTTATTTGGTCCATGGAGGAGACTTGTCTCATTGGCAATCATACAACATCTTCTTATTTGGTCCTTGGAGGAGAGTTGTCTAATTGGCAATCCCACCACATCTTCTTATTTTGATATGACATACTAGTTACACACGATAACCGCTGCATAATAGACTGAGCTGTGTCAGATAGAAATAGACCTTATGCAAATGGATATCAATATATCCGCTCAGCTATATCGGGTTGAAAAATCTTTATGCAAAGTCTGAAACTGTTTGAAAATTTGGTTTGCCCTAAGAACCTTACAAAACAGACCCAAACTTATCTTTTATTTCGTATTTGAATGTTCCAAAATCAACCAAAGCCTTGTACATGTACATGTATATGGGCACTTGCATAAGGACGATTTCTATCTGACGAGCTCAGGCTCATACCTTGAGACAGGCACATAAATAATATGACTGGGTTAAGAATTTTAATGAACGTTTATAAAGATGCTACTAAAATATCATAGAAGAATTATGTCTCATAGTTACAAACTTTGAGTTGATCTCAACACTACACATTGTTTTTTTGGTGGTAAACCTAAAGATGTCGTTTAAAATTTGTCTCCTTCAAAAGTTTCATTCTATCTATATGCAGAAGTTATATAAGTTGATATAATTCACTGAATATATTGATTTTTTCAGGACTTTTATTTTTATCAATTGTAAAAAAATCTGATCCTCCTAAACCATTCTTCTGTCTGATTCCAAAGTATGTCCTGTGCACTGCTTATACCTATTATAAAAAAAAAATGAAAATGTATAGGCAATAATCAAACATGCTTAGAAATACGAAAACAAGCTCGTTGACCTATATTTTATGTTTAAGTTTTGAAAACAGCTTAAAAAAACCACATTATGGCAAAGAATTACATTTTGTATCACTTTTTTTGTATACTCCCATACTACCTTAATCGCGCCATATGTTCTGTTCCAAGCCAGGAACCTCGTCAGCCATATGTTCTGTTCCAAGCCAGGAACCTCGTCAGCCATGAGTTCTGTTCAAGCCAGGAACCTCGTCAGTCATGAGTTCTGTTCCAAGCCAGGAACCTCGTCAGCCATGAGTTCTGTTCCAAGCCAGGAACCTCGTCAGCCATGAGTTCTGTTCCAAGCCAGGAACCTCGTCAGCCATGAGTTCTGTTCAAACCAGGAATCTCGTCAGCCATGAGTTCTGTTCAAGCCAGGAACCTCGTCAGCCATGAGTTCTGTTCAAGCTAGGAACCTCGTCAGCCATGAGTTCTGTTCAAGCTAGGAACCTCGTCAGCCATGAGTCTTGTTCAAGCTAGGAATCTCGTCAGCCATATGTCCTGTTCCAAGCCAGGAACCCCGTCAGCTATGAGTTCTGTTCAAAACCAGGAACCTCGTCAGCCATGAGTTCTGTTCAAGCTAGGAATCTCGTCAGCCATATGTTCTGTTCCAAGCCAGGAACCTCGTCAGCCATGAGTTCTGTTCCAAGCCAGGAACCTCGTCAGCCATGAGTTCTGTTCCAAGCCAGGAACCTCGTCAGCCATGAGTTCTGTTCCAAGCCAGGAACCTCGTCAGTCATATGTTCTGTTCCAAGCCAGGAACCTCGTCAGCCGTATGTGCTGTTCCAAACCGGGAACAGTCAGCCATATGTGCTGTTCCAAGCCAGGAACGTCGTAAGCAATTGTTCTGTTCCAAGCCAGGAACCTCGGCAGCCATATTTGCTGTTCCAAGCCAGGAACGTCGTCAGCCATATGTGCTGTTCCAAGCCAGGAACTGTCAGCCATATGTGCTGTTCTAAGCCAGGAGCGTCGTTAGCAATATGTGCAGTTCCAAGCCAAGAACGTTGTCAGTCATATGTGCTGTTCTAAGACAGGAACGTCGTCTGCCGTATGTACTGTTCCAAGCCAGCAACCGTCAACCATATGTGCTGTTCTAAGCCAGGAGCGTCGTTAGCCATATGTGCAGTTCCAAGCCAAGAACGTTGTTAGCATATGTGCTGTTCTAAGACAGGAACGTCGTCCGCCATATTTGCTGTTCTAACCCAGGAACAGGCAACCATATGTGCTGTTCTAAGCCAGGAATGTCGTCCGCCATATTTGCTATTCCAATCCAGGAGCGTCGTCGGTGGTTCCCTTTAGTAAGGGTGCCTTGTTGTCCGAGTAGTTTAAGTAGTTTATCGACAATGATCACTAGTATGTCAACACTGAGGTTGCTAGTTTGTCAACACTGAGGTTGCTATTTTGAATCCAGCTTGTGCTAAGGTGCATTTGACTCCAATCTTAATTGACTAGGATTCCCAGGATGAAATTTGAAAAAAAGGCAAGACAGGAGTTTTGTGTAAAAAAAAGAAGGCAGAATGAGCAACTTTGGAAAAAAAGGCAGGATGACAATTTATGTAAACAAAGTCAGGATAAACTAATAAAAAAAGGCAGGTCCTAATAGAGTGAAAAATAAAAAGGCAGGACAGAGATTACAACTAAAAAAAATGCAGGACAAAATTTTTCATCCTAGCCCCCCTAAAAATCAGTTGGTAGCTCCCTAATTACACTTGGTAAAAAACATAAATTTATCAAAATAATTTCTAAAAATAGATCACATAAAAGATATATTTAAACTTAATTAAAACAAGTGAAACTGCGAGCTACTGCTCACTGATGATACCCCCGCCGCAACTGGATAATTTTAATAGTGTAAAAATATGCCAGTGTTCGGTAAACAGGAAGTTGTTGAGTGATGAATCTGAAAACGCATCACACGGTATAGCTGACTTATATAAACCCTGAAACCATATTTCAGAAATTCTTATGATGTAGTTCCTGAGAAAGATGCGACAAAAATATTCATGGAACGGATGGACGGATAGACGCACGGACGAACGGACGGACGGATTAACAGATGGACGGACGGACGGACGGACAGACAGAGGTAAAACAGTATACCCCAACTTTTTTAAAGCGGGTATATAACAAATATAAGATACTTATTAGAAAAAGTATAGCTAAAATACCGAACTCCAAGGCAAATAAAAAAAAAGGTGAAGTCCACAAAAACTGACAAAACCAGACTTTTTCAACCAACGGAAAAACTTGAAAACAATCGTCATATTCCTAAGTATGTAGTTCATTTTCAGGAAGCTAAACACATGCATAATAAATTTTGTAAGTATTGAACCAAAACGTGATCTTAATACTTACCTTAACTTAATCAATACGCGTTGTCGTACTTTGGCTTGTAGTCGCTATTTTGTTTGTAGCCATATTTTGGTTTGTAGTCGTTGTATTGAGTACTGTGATGTTTGTGATCATATTTTGGTTTGTAGTCGTTGTATGGAGAACTGTGTTGTTTGTGATCATATTTTGGTTTGTAGTCGTTGTATGGAGAACTGTGATGTTTGTGATCATATTTTGGTTTGTAGTCGTTGTATGGAGAACTGTGAGGCTTGTGGTGAGGCAACCATTTACAGCAAACTTTCCACCATTTGAAGTGTGGACATACATCGACGAATATTTCATTTTTATCACAATATGGTTTACATTTACAGAACCATTTACCTAAAAATAAATACATAATGTAATTCACCCTTAAATTATTTTTATCATCTACATTAAAAAACAATTATGAAATGCATCCTTTACGCGTTTTTTTTTTACCTCACGTAAATAAATAATGAAAACCATCCTCTTTTGTTCTACCTACAAAAAAAAAAGAAATAATAGAATTCATCCTCAACTTTTCTACCTACAAATAAATAAATAAATAATGATATTCATACTCCACTTTTTTTTTACCTACAATTAAGTAAATAACTAAATTGATCATTTACTTCTTTTCCTACAAATTTGTGACGGGATTGCTTCCCTTAGAAATTTAGTAGATACTAAGTCAGCCGTAAGCGGTTGAGCTAAGGAAGTACTTCTTTAGCTCAGTCGGTTAACGCGCTGCCTTGTAACACAGAGGTCCCGGGTTCGAGTCCCGGTGGAGACATGCGATTTTGCAAGTAGAATCATGCTCTCCGGTTACAAATTAATAGGATTAGGGTTGTCAAGAGCGGGAGGTCACTAGTTCGGGTTGTCAAGCTGGAGGTCGCTAGTTCGGGTTGCCAAGCGGGAGGTCACTAGTTCGGGTTGCCAAACCAAAGACTGCAAATTGGTATTAGTGTTTCTTTACTAATTACGCTGCATTTAGGTGTAAGAGCAAAGACGGATCTTTTCGCTGTCAGAATATTGTGTACATAAATCCAGTTCAAGGTGTAAGTCTTGTTCAAATCAATTCACATTCATAACTTATGACCATGTTATCGTCCTGATATGTATTAATCACTTGATTGCACTGGATGATAAACACCAAACCATCATTATGTATTATATTTCTTTAATTTCTCACCACTGATGGTAGACATTTAGCCTCCAATCCCTGGGACATTATTCGACTAGGATTGTCTAGTAGTCATAACTTTGTCACCACTGATGGTTGACATTTAACCTCCAAACCCCCGGACATTATCCGTCTACGATTGTCTAGTAGCCATACCTTTGTCATTAATCTTGGCATCAAAGGGATTGTAATTCAAATATTGAGTTCTAAGTAAAATCAAACTAGAAATTCTCCCTTTCAAAATCTGATACTTTTTTCGTAATATTTCCAATGGCGTTAACTCGTCCTAATCAATGAATATTCAACCAAGGGGTGTAAAAATCGTCCTTATCAATGAATATCCAATAAAAGGAGCATAAAAAACGTCATTATCAACGAATATCCAACCAAGGTGCCTATAAGCCTTTGATACTAACCAAAGCAGGACATTACTCTCCCAGAGTGCTTGAATTTACTCGGTTCTGAGACAACCGTTATGACTTCTGATCTAAGTGGGAGTTAGTTTGGATTGCCCAAAAGTTTTGTAAAACATTGTCACAGCACTACATATTTAAATCATATTGGAGTCTTTATTAACAAGTTTTTAGAACTGAGGGCGACAGATCCGTGTAAAACAGGTTCCTGATACATATGTAATAAATTTAATCTTACATTTGTTTATTAGGTTAACTGTTTATTTGTTGTATCTTGTATGCATGTATTTTATTTGTTATTGCTTGGTGGGTGTAATTTTGCAATAAACAACTCGCTTTTACTAGGGTCCGAATATGGTAAAAGGCAAAACTCTGTTCTGGTCAAACTTACCCTTATTTTTAGTTGGCATCGTAATTTTTCTGGAGTCAATTTTATTAATTATTTATTTGTTCTGAAATATTGACCACTAGACTTTATTTGAACAACACAGACAATTAATTATTCCCTGTTGTATTCGTCTTGTCTGTTAAGTTTCGCGCATCTGCTTTGATGCTTTTGTCTCTTTCGTGTATTGACATCTCTGGATTGAGATTTTTAATTCACATTTTAAAACGGTTTATTCCGTACATGCTGTTTGTAATCTACGAAAATAATCATAAAACATCTGTGTATAGTGTATTCGATGTTTTATATCAAATTTACTGGTACGCTTACAAATAATACAAATATAGTTTTTGAATAAATCTTATTTTCCTAGTCCTATCTAGTTTACATCGTTCTATTAGCTTTGAAATAGCAATCAAATGTCATTAACCGTCCATACAGTATCCCCAAAATCAACGAAATATTTAATATTTTTGTATATAAAACAATATAAATATTAACATTGATTTTTTTTGCAAAATTCCTTGTCCATGACGATGTTTTGCATTATGAACTATAATTATTTCGCATTAAAGAAATATTTACCTCCTCCATGTCCTCCTCCACGCCCTCCATCAATAGGCCCGCCTCCAAATCCACCAGCAGACCCGCCACCAAGTCCACCCTGTTGCCCAATTCCAATTCCACCAAAACGACCATCCAATCCAAAAACGTCTGATGATCCTACGGCATGACTGTTCCCATGTTTGTAATCTTTCTTTTTATCATCATTGTATTTATAATCTTTCTTTTTGTCTCCATAATACTCATAATCGTTCTTTTTATCGCCGTAATATTTGTTACCGCCGTAATATTTGTCATCTTTTTTTTTGCCATAATCCTCCTTTCCTTTATAACTACCACTGTGACTGTCATAATATCCGTCACGACCTCTATATCCGTCTCGTCTTCCAAACCCGTCTCCGTATCCGTACAAATCCATTGCAGTTTTCAAGATTACTAAATCTCGAGCAAGGTTAAAATGTCTTGAGTCAGTGCGACCTCCTCTATTACCACCGTGATTGCTATCATGTCCATGATCTTTTTTATCATACCCGTAGTCTTTTTTGCCGTAGTCTTTTTTTCCATAATCTTTTTTGTCATAGTCATAATCTTTTTTACCATAATCTTTTTTTCCATAGTATTTTTTGCCGTAGTCATCATCATCGTTATTACTATAGTCGTAATCTTTTTTGTCATAACTCTGACTTTGGGATCCGTAATATTGGTTATTGTAGTTGCTCTGTTGTCCATACAGAGGGTAACTGCCGTCGGAGTAAGTCTCCTTTTTCTTGTAAGTATTGTACTGGTCTACATTACTATAGTCTCCATAAGACAAGGCAAACGTTGTGGCAACGACAAACAGAGCTAACCACGTGCGACCCATTTCGCGGCAGTACTGATACTGTCGTCTTCCAGAGTTGTTTTAAGAATGAAAATCTTTTTAGTAGTATCACGTGATATTTGTTATTGAAAAAAAATTTGATCAATTGTAGAACACATTAATTTCATAATATAATGCATGTGTTGTTTAAATTTGAAACGCTGTCTTGAGTAAGGGTCATGTTTTCTCATAAAAAAGTATTTAACTGGTAAAACATGGAATGTTTTTTGTTATCATTCTTCTTACATTCTCTGTAAAGGAAAAGTATTTATAACCAATACACTTTGCTATGAAACCACAATGTTTCGGCAGTGTAAGATTTTATATATTAGGTTTACAAGATATATATAAATTCTATCAATTAATCAAACTAGTTTCATGTATGTTGTTTGATCAAACAAACTGAATTGGTGTTGTTAACTGAAGGTCCAGCGGCAAATATTTCAGGAAAAACCAGGACTAATAAATTAAAAAAGACACGAACATGTAGTCATAATAATATAAACATATGTCAAGATTATAATACAAATGAAATACCATGTGATCATAGATTATAACTGACAAATAAACTCTGAATTAAAGAATTACTAAGAAGTATCTTAATAAATATAAAGAATGAAGCAGATCAAAATAAAAATTCTATGAGATGCAAATGAAATGTAAATTTCATACCCGCCTCATACAAAATGAGCAGAATACTTCTGTTGAACATTTAGTTGTGTCATACGACTCAGTGCTTCGATCTGTCTTCGACAGGCATGCTTCAATACAGTCAAAAGTGATCACCTTGTGACCAAACACAGAGTGGTACACTGATGAGTTGTGATTTGCTACGCGGGAACGCCGCAAAGCTGAGCGACAAATGCTAAAGACAAAGCTCCACCAGGACTAGCAAACTGCTCTTCAAACGCAAGACGGACTACATTGGCTAGAGGTATAGGGGAGGGTTGAGATTTCACAAAACATGTTTAACCCCGCCGCATTTTTGCGCCTGTCCCAAGTCAGAAGCCTCTGGCCTTTGTTAGTTTTGTATGATTTTTTTTAAATTTAAGTTCATTTATATGTATCGGAGTTTAGTGTGACGTCCATTTTCACTGAACTAGTACACGTTTTTGTTTAGGGGCCAGCTGAAGCCCGCCGCCGGGTGCGGGATTTTTCGCTGTGTTGAAGACCCATTGGCGGTCTTGGGCTGTTTTCTGCTCTTTGATCGGGTTGTTGGCTCTTTGACACATTCCCCATTTCCATTCTCAATTTTATTATTCACATAAAATTTCGGAAGTTGGACACGATCAAAAGAAATTGCTAAATCTCACAAACGGGCTAAATACCTGCATCTGTAGAGGAAGTGCGTAAGAATATTCTGAAAGCTCCAACCAAATCATGTAAATTGGACTTACTTCCGACATAGATATTAAAACCTTGTTTGAACAGTTTAGCTACCGTCATCACCAAGATAGGGAACTTTGGAATAGTTTTGTGTACGTACCACCATCTTTCAAGGAGTCTCTTGAAAAAGGCTGGTCTAGACAAAGAGGTGTTGAAACATTATCGATCTTTCTCGAATCTTCCGTTTGTATCCAAAGTGGTCGAAAAGGTCGTTGAATTGCCTTATAACCATCATACGTCAATACGTACGTACAATCAGCCTACCTTGCGTGTCATTCGACTGAGACAGCATTACTTCGTGTTCATCATGACATTAATGTTGCACTTGACAACAATTGTTGTGCCTTTTACTAATGCTATCGACTGCTTTCGTTGTGATCGATCATTCTATTCTGTCTGGTGAAGCGGTTGGAACACTCTTTTGGGATAACCGATATCGTATCTCGAGATAAAGGCTCAACGCATCGCTATTGGTTTTGGTCTTTAGAGTCTCCAGTATGGTGTTCTTCAAGGATCGGTCTTTGGAACAAAACTTTATTGCATTGGTTCAATTCCAATTGGCGAAATATGTAAACCCATAATATGTGCTATCACACACAAGCTTATTTCGTACTCAAACCACTTGATAATTGAACGAACATATCAAAGCAACTTGAGGCTTGATTGGCAGTCATCAGCAAGTAGATGTGCTCGAATATGTTAAAATTGAACGAGGACACAAATAAACTGATAGTATTTGCTCCTATAAACAGAGTGAAGAATCTTTCAGACTTGCATTTCAATTTTGGTGGAAACATTGTGAGTGATGCTGAGTGTGTTGAAAAACCTTGGCATTTATTTCGAGAAAACTTTGGCAATGGACAAATTAATAAGTGCTGTTTCAAAATCCTGTTTTAATGTAATTAAAAACATTGGACAAATTCGTCCATTTATTACCGAAGAAGAATACAAAACGTTAGTATGCTTTTTTAGTGACATTCCGTTTTAACAACGGGAACGCATTTCTATATGGACTCCCAGCCACTTTTATTCAACGATTACCGCGAGTCCAAAACACAGCGGCCAGAGTCATTTCAATGAGGAAGAAGGACGACAACATCACACCAATCCTTAAGTCTCTTCATTGGCTGCCCGTAACGTAACGATGCCAATATAGAGTCTTTTGTATATGTTTAAGGCTTTGCATGAGGATGAAGTACGACCACATCACACCAATCCTTAAGTCTCTTCATTAGCTGCCCGTAACACCATAATATGTACTGTCACTGTTATGCAGACGACATTCAAGTTTATCTCGTGTTCAAACCACTTGTTATTGGACAAAAATATCAAAGCTACACGAGGTTTGCGTTGCTGGCATCAGCAAGTGGATTTGCTCGAATATGTTAGAATGAAACGAGGACAAAACTGAACTGATAGTATTTGCTAAAAAAAACCGAGTGAAGGACCTTTCAGACTTGCATCTCAATTTCGGTGGAAACATTATCAGTGATGCTGAATAAATAAAGGCAAAAGTAGTATACCGCTGTTCAATAGTCATAAATCGATTTAACTGAAACAAATCCGGGTCACAAACCAAAACTGAGGGAAATACATCAACTATAAGAGGAATTAAAACGGAACAACAGAAACACTGAACTGCTACAAAAACAAACGCCAACATACATAAAAACGGACTATGTGATAACAATTGCCATATTCCTGACTTGGTACAGGACATTTTAAGAAAAAATGGTGGGTGGTCCTGGTTTTATGGCTAGCCATACCTCCCGCCTATATAGCTATGTTATAAATACCGCTAACATGACAACATTACGTGACAGGAATAAAGTGCAAATAAATGCAAGAAAATTCAGGACAGAGAAATACATAAATAAATAATATAATAGTCCATTTCAACATGTAAACCACAGAATAACAACAAACACCTAAAATTGATTTACGACAGAAAACAAATACAGCACAATAAAATAATGAACTGTGCGTCACACGAAAGCATCAACGCCACAAAAAGTGACGTCACAGGTAAATTTCTAAAAATACAATATGAAATTGGGATTAATTTTGTAATGGTGTTATTTGATGTATTTTCTAACCATAACAAGAATATTAATATAGAATTGTGTAAGTAATGGTGTAATTATTTGTATTTTATAACTATGGTAATAATTAATAATATATTTTCTTGTAAATCAAACTGTGAAAAAACAAATGAATCCTGTGCATATAGTTGCTTTTAACCTAAAAATCTTATAAACGAACTAGGTGATTAATATCTTTACTTTTACATACATAAATAAAAATAAAAATAGAAGTAAAACCACAAACGATAAGACATAAAACAACATCCAACCACAATTACAAATGGAACATCATAACTAAATACATGAATGTTGGATGTACAAATACCGAGACACGTCAAATAGCAATGCGAATTTACACTCAGCAAAACAGTCATATTCGGGAATAGGTCACGTTCGGTACTTAGAAGACCAGACGACTTAGATGGTAAACTACAATCTAAGATGTGGTAAAAATGTCGTTAGTTAGTTTAGACACAGACACATCATATAGATCAACCAATTCGTGATGGAGTCCTTAAAATTTACGGAGTGTCATTTTTAATCTTTCCTCTTCACAACTCCGTTGGAGCAGTTTCTGCGTAAGGAGCACAACCTGTATATGAAGTCCGTATAGTGGGAACATGCACGAGCATAATGTATCAACTGAGATATGTAAACACCATACGATGGGGCAGAGGGTATGTTACTGCTGAGAAATGGGAAATTGATAATTGGGAAGTTGAAATCGTCCCGTTTGTCATAGATTGTAGTGTGAAGTCGTCCATCTGTGTCAATATTGAGTAAAAGATCAAGGTATGAAGCAGTCCTCCTAGTATCATTAGTATCCTTAATTAAAAGTTTACTGGGATATATGAGATGTAAGTACTGGCTGAAATACGGGTTATTCAGTGATAGGACATCATCAATATATCTGAAAGTAAAATAAAAGAATTTCGCAAGGTGCTTTTTCTTTTTGTCTTTTAGAAGGTTTTGAATGAATTCTGCTTCATACGAGTACAAAAACAAATCGGCCAGTAGGGGTGCACAATAAGTACCCATTGGAATACCGACTGCTTGTTGAAATATCAATCCTCTAAAACTCAACAAATATGTTGTCGATCAAAAAGTCCAGCATTTTGATAATATCATCTTCAGTATATTTCTGGTAGAATCTGTGGTTCTTCACAAAATAAGAATTATTATAACCCAAAAACAAGAAATCTAAGATTCCCATTTTTATAGAAAAAGCTCTGTTAAATGAGATGGTGACATCGATCTTTTAACTGAGCATGGGGATTAGTGGTGTAAAGCGAAGAAAAAATCAAAAGTTTTAATGTTGCTGCAAAATTGCAGAGATTATGATCTAAGATTTAGCCGTAGATCTTTAGAATTTTTAAGAATCCACATCTGATTGACACAACTGGTGGAATATATCTCATCACAATATTTTTGAAGGCCATTTTGTACTATAGAAAGTATAGTAGTCAGCACTTTAGAAAGATATTTAGTTGAACATCTTGATGATCCGGCTATGTATCGTTCTTTATAACGAGTTTTGTGAAGTTTTGGTATCTAGTATAATGAC